CTCCCACCCCCACTACCCCCCATCCCCAGCCAGCCAGCCAGCCAGCCAGCCTGCGTGGCGTGGCGTGGATGTGTGCATGTGGTTGGTTGGTCTGCTGGACCGGTACACGCGCGTGTGTGTGTGAGTTGGTCAGTGGGTGCAAATGAGGAACAGACCTACCTGCCAGAGTGAGTGGCTAAGTCAGTCGGTCCGCCGTAAGGCGGCGGATGGATGGATGGATCGATGTGCAGTGCAATCCATGGCTGAATGAATGGCTGGCATCGGGTGGAATGAATGCACAGCACTCACACTGCTTTGTGGCTCTCTCTGCCTTCATTGGGTTTGCGGCACGTCACCTGTGGGCCACGAGCTCTTCGCTCGTCCACAGGCAGGCAGCCAATTTCAATCATAATCAATCCACTTCAACAAAACGACCACAGGCTGCCACGCACGCAGCACACGTGTCCCTCACTGCTCATTGGCCATTTTGTGCCTTGGCAGCGGCGGCAGCGCCCCCGAGTCTGCCGCCGCTCATCATGGCGGCGGGGTCGAGCTTCGTCGACACGGCCGACATGGGCTTGCTCTTGCCATCCTGCACACACACACACACACACACAGTGACACGAACGAGCCCCCGGCTGACTGACCTACCGGGATTTTGATGAGGACGAGTGCCCTCTTGCCCGGCCAGTAGACCTGGTCAACACGGAAGTACCCTCGCCGTTCAAGCTGCATCACCGAATCTGACACACCGACCCAACAGGCAGTCCACAGCCAATTGCACGCCCTGTGGGTGGTTGTGGGTGCCATTCATCCTTTCGTGTGTCGGCACCTTCTTTGAGGTGTTTGAGCAGAGGGTCGCCCATGGCCGCGGTGTCGAATTGGCTGTTGCGGTTCGCCTGAAGGGAGGGAAGCCGCCATCCATCCATCCATCAGAGCACAAGTTTATATGTCAGATACACGGCTGCCGCGCTGACCAGGTCTTGGATCTTGTCGTCCTCCTCAGGTTTCTTCTTGGAGATGATGTGATCGTACTCACGCAACACACACGGGGCTAGCTGATACACACGCCACACATGTTCACATATATATATCCGTGTTGTGTTTGGGGGGGTCGCTCAATCACTCACTGACTCACTGACTGACGCAATGCAACGCACTCACTCTTGTGTCGAGAGCCGGCAGCCAGTGGAGTTTCTTCTTGGTCTTCTTGACGTCGCCATCCAAGTGAAGATGGCCTGGTCATGACATCAAGGAAGGACCACACACAGACAGACACACGGCCAGGTCAGCCAATCAGCTGTCTGATAGCATTCGAGTTAGTCGAGTACCGCACCCTCCATGTGTGTGACGTTTCCTTCGCCGTCCTTGTCGATCCGGTCGACCACGCAGTTCCCCCAACGCATCAACGTCACCTGAATGAAATGAGGGACACACACACGTTTGCAACATCAGACAAAGACGCCACTCCCTCCCTCCCTCACTGCCTGCCTGCACGACTGCGTGCGCATGTTTGTTGACCTACCTCTTCGCCCTGCTCGCAGAGTGCCGCATCGTCCTTCTCGATGAGCACGTTCTTGTAGACGAAGTAGGCGGCCTCGCCCACCTCGGCGGTCTTCGGGTGCAGCGGACGCACTCGCGCCAGTGGCTCAGGGGGGCCGTCCACCAGATGGAACAGCACCGCATCGCCTGACCACACCACCACATCAGCCTCATGTGTGGCTGTGCTGTGCTGTGTGCGTGTGTGGTGTGGTGTGGTGTGGTGTGGTGACTGACTCCCGACGGCCGAGTATCTTGGGACGATTGGGTCGATGATCTGTTTGTTCTTGGTCCACAGCTTGTCCCACTCCATCAGGTTGTTGGCCTTGGTCGGGCCCTGCTCGTCGATGAAGTCCCACAGCGCCTTGACCTGCAGGCCGCGCCGAAGCATACCTGAGTGAGAAGAAAGAACCAACGACAGACAAGCAAGTGGACAGACAGAGCCACGGACACGCCTCTGCAGATAATGCACAGCACACAGACAGACGGCTGACCCTACCCTGGACAGTGGGGAAGCGTGGGTCTTTCCAGCTGTCGACGATGCCCTCATCCACAAACCACTGTAGCTTCCGCTTTGACAACACTGACACAGACACACCGACACACACACACAGAGGGAGGACAGTATCAACCACCCCTCCCTCCCTCCCTCCCTCTAGTCTGAGTCTACCAGTGTTGACAAAGTTGAGCCTCGAGAACTCGAGAACGTGCACGTCACGCAGCCCACACGCCTGCAACATCTGAAACGAACGAAAACGGGCAGACAGGGAGAGAGGCGTCAAACACCCACCCAATCGCCTCTGTCTGCGCGCACGCACGCACCGTACGTACCCATTTGTATTGGTCGTATCTGTCGGCGTATTCGCTGGTGCGCATGGCGTGTGTGACGCCCTCCAGGGCGTCCACCACAGGGCAGCAGAAATCGTACATCGGATAAGCCGTGAAGGCCGTCTCTGGGCAGGCCAGGCCAACCACACACACACACACACACACGAGGGGGCATACATTTCATTTGTGTGGGTGGAGGGGGGGAAGGGTGTGTGTAGTGTCCAGTCCATGCCATGCCATGACCCTACTTGTTCTGTGGTGCGGTATGTCAGTGACGCATCGGTAGACGGCCGGGTCGCGCATGCACTTGTTCTTGGCCTGCATGTCGATCCTCGCACGCACGCAGCACTCCTGGCCCTTCGGGGTGCCCTGAACGGACCAACGCACCAACACCACACACACACCAACACACACCAACACTCGAGCCGGCTCATCTACGTATGTCTGTTGGGTGTGTGTGTGTGTGTGTGTGCCTGTGCCACTGACTGACCTTGAGCATCTCGTCCCAGAGCTTGAGGTTGTCCTCCACGGTGTTCTGCCGGTTGCGGCTCTCGATGCCCTCACCACGCTCCAAACGCATCTATGGCACACACACATACAGACACACATATGGTCGGCTGGGAGTGGCAGTGGTGCGTGCCGGCCGTCGGTCGCTCACCTGCTCCTGCGGCGTGTCGTCGACGTAGGCCTTCCCTGGCGACAAAACACACGCGCACACAGGCCACACAGGAGTGTGTGTGTGTGTAGGTTGGTTGGTTGTGTGTTTGTTGCCTCACTCACCTTCCTTGATGAGCTTGGTGCACATGTCCTGCAGCTGCGGGAAGTAGTCCGACGTGAAGGACACCTTGTCCTGCACCACAGCACACCACACCACACACAGGCAGTCCATTCATTCACAAAGCAAGGCGGCCGCTCCCTCCGGTATGTCTGCTCTGGCTGACCGCCTTGATGCCGAGCCGCTTGCAGTCCTCGAGGATCTCTTCCTGGAACTCCTCCTTCTCGCGAGCAGGGTTGGTGTCGTCAAACCTGCCACACAGAGAGGAGAGGAGAAGGACACAGACAGAAGTCCATCCACTGCCTCCCCTCCCTGTCCTGCAATGGGGCCTGGCTGGCTGATGGACAAGGGGGAGAGAGAGAGGGAGGGAGGGAGGGGGGGGAGGAGTGGTGTGTGTATGTGTGTGTGTGTGTGTGTTTGCTGGGCTGATGCACCTCCAGCCCCATGAAGCCGCACACGCAGAGAGCCTCTCTCTGGTAAGGTTAGACAGAATCGGCCAAAAAGCCAGCGGACATCCCCCGAGAAGGCCAGCACTCAACAGACAGCCACCTGCCTTCATAAAGACATGCTCTGCAGGAAAAGGGCAACAGAGGCAGGTCACTGCACAGATCGCTTCACCACACGCGTCTGCTCTCCTTCACCACTGGCTGACCGGGCGAGAAAGACAAAAGAGACATTCTCTCACCCGCTCCCTGTTCCCTCTCTCTGTAGGCCATTGCACCGCGCAGACACAGACTGACAGCCTCCATCGAGGCCGGTGTCAGCCTGCATTTGCGGGGGGCCTCATAACGCAGGCGCCATTCGGCCCCAACTGGGGGGCGGCAAGCCCGCCCCAGTCCTACCAGCCGTGCTATACCTGCCTACCAAAGAAGCCAGCCGGCGAAAAACGGCCGCGGCTCACTCTCTGTCAGAAGCTTATGGGTACTAGGCCTTGTCTGGAGTGAGCATTGCATCCATCCGCTCTCCTGCCTGCCCAGAGAGAGGTGGCTTTCCATGGCAGCCTGGCTATTCGGTGAAGGTCGGCTGGCTTCGGTCAAAAATCGCCTAGCTGTCCACAAAGAGTCTCGCTGACAGGTGCGGCGGTCACGGCATGGGGCTGGAGGGAGGTGCATCAGGCGCCAGCAAACACACACCGCACACACACACACACACGCGCACACCCCACTCCACTCCCCCCTCCCTCCCCTCTCTGTCCCTCCTTGTTTGCTCATCAGATCTATCTGCCTCTCGGCGCCCACTGGCTTGTGTGCAGACTCTCGCCGCCAGTCGCAGTGACCGACCTGATGATGAGTGTGCCGTTGTAGCTCCGCGCGTAGAAGTTGTTGATCATGGCCGCCTTGGCGTGACCCACGTGCAGGTACCCGGACGGCTCGGGGGGGAACCGGACGACCACCTCGCCCATCACACCACCCTCCAGCTTGCCTGCACACACACATAGACAGGGAAGGAGAGGGAGAGGGAGAGGGAGAGGACGGTCGGGGACTCCGTAATGCGTGAGTCTTTCACCGAATTGGCTGGAAGGCGCTTCGGCGGCCGATTGCCCGCCGCTCGCTGGTCCCTTCTTGTGTGGGTGTCCGCCGCCTCCGCGGGCAGGCAGCCCGCCGCTGAGTGCCGCGGTGGTCTGCACCACCTTCAGCTCGCAGAGAGTGAGGTGGACGACGGGCTGTCGGTAGACAAAGGTGAACCACCGCTTCACATGGGGATAGGCCTTCAAGAGGTGGTCCCTAGTGGTCACACACACACACACACACACACACACACGCACGCACACGCACAGAAAGCCATATGCATGTGTCTGTCTGTCTCTCTGTGTGTGTGTGTGCTTGTGTGCGGCTCGGCTCACGTCTGGAACTTGCTTTGCTTGCCGATCTTAGCAAACACCGCCAGGTCCGCCAGCGACAGCCGCCTGCCGACAATGAAGGTCCGCAGCTTGAGCCAGCCATCCAGCTCGCCAAGAGCACCCCCCTCGCCCCCCCTAGTCGCCGCCCATTCCACCCAGTGGTCCACGCTCGACATGGCCACACTGCCACTGCCGCCATACAAACCGAGCGTGTCATTGGTCAGCCGCGCCAGCAGCCGTGCCACTGACTGATCTGAGGCCACAAACGTCTTCTTGGACGGCAGGTCGAGCCTCACCTCGCCATCTGCTGAAGATGACGATGCTGTCGTCTGGTCTATGTGGTTGTTGACTTTGAGGTCGCCCTGCCAGTTGACGAGTGCGGCGGTGATGAGGGAGCAGAGGGGGTAGGAGGAGGCATCGGTCGACGAGGGCAGGTGCAGTGTGTAGGCGTTGCCCGACATGACGCAAGTCGATTGACGCCGTGGCCAAGATCTTAGAGGGCCTAGGCCACGGCGGAGCATGCCATAGCCTGCTGCCGTTTTTGTCGCTGATCTTTGTCGCGCTGATCTTTTCGAGCTCGCCCTCTGAGGCTAAGCTCGCGCGCAGATCTCTCTCCCCCCGCGAGCGCCATGTACGGCAAGGGGCACGTCGACCAGGATGCCTTCGCATCCACCACCCAAAGCGCCAGTGCCTCGCAGCCGAATGCGCCAGCGACAAGCAGGGCCAAACAGGCGGCAAGACAGACCAAGCAACACGCCAAGACAGCCACAAACGGTGCCACAGCCGCTCCCTCGAGCCAGGCGAGGCGCGTCGGGCCGCCGGCAGTCGAGAAGGTCTCGCCCACCAGGGTGAATGTGGAGCTACTGAATGAGGCGGCGGCACTGCTCGAGAAGCAGGGCGACAAAAGCCGTGAGAATGCCGGCGTTGCCTTCATAGAGCGGTTCGTCAAGGGCTTCAACTGGTTCATGGCGAGCGATGGCGTGGCCAGGAGGTTCACCAGCCTGCTGCTTGACATGCTGGCGACCAACGGCGATGCCACCTCGATGGTGCTCGCGCAGCTTGTCAAGAAACTCAGGATGAGGTGAGTGAGTGGGTGGGTGGGTGGACAGACTGACATTGGATGGATGGATGGATGGATGGATGGCTTGATGCTTTCAGGCCGAGTGACGAGGAGCTCGACGCCAAGACACCGACGATTGTCGTCGGTGAGTGAGTAATGAATGACAGAGCGGGAGGGACACTCACACACGTCATCCATCTGGCTTGTCGCCTCCCTCTCTCGCTCTCTCTCTCTCTCTGTGTGTGTGTGTGCGTGTGTGTGTGTGTGTTGTGTGTCAGGTCGGTTTTCGTTTGAGTCCAGGGTGGCCCTGAAGCAGCGGATACGGACCATCATGACCGATGCAGGTACGCAACACAGACAGACAGACAGACAACACACTCTGTGTATGTTTCTCTGTGTGTGCGTGTGTGCGTGTGTGTGGCATCCATCCCTTCACACACCTGACCTGTCAGCCGACGGTGAGGATCTGAAGGGCGAGGATTTCGAGCTCTTGCGAGAGGTCCTGAGGTACCATCCCAGAGCCGACTACAAACAAAAAGGTAAGGCGCGTTTGACGCCCGACGGCCGATCGGCCTCTCTCTGTGGAGTGGCGATGTGTGTGTGTGTGTGTGTCTGTCTACAGACTGTGTGGGTATCTTCGTGGCCCGCCATCCGAATGTCAAGTTCGACTGCCGGGCATTCTTCGTCCGGAGGAGCGTCGGTGAGTTAGTTGAGGGAGGGAGGTAGGGAGCTGTTGAGTCAGGCATGCATTGACCCAACCCAAGCCAGCTCACACCACACCACACCACACACACAAGCCAACGAACACACCACACCACCCTGTGTCTGTCTGCTGCTGCAGGAATGCACGAGGACTTCAGCTACGTCCGGTGTGTGGACGGCCTCCCCTCCGCGGACGCCTACGCCTACGAGAGGATATGCGACGCCATCGACCGTGTCTGCAGCTTCTTCCCACAGGCCACCCAGCTGCTGGTCAAGGTCCTGGGCGACAACCAGCCGCACCACCGCAAGAACGTCGAGGAGCACCAGAACTACACCCGCAGCATGCTCTGGCTCTGCAGACGCAAGCCGCAGATGCGCGCGGGGATACTCAAGCTCTTCATTGCGAGGCTCATCGACTTCGACGTCGAGATTAAAGAGGTGTTGTCGGGCGTGGTGTGGTGTGCTGTGGTGTGGATGGGCGGGTGATGAGTGTGCGTGTGTTGTGTTGTGTTGTGTTGTGTTTGTGTGTAGGACGATCCCAACTCGATAGACATTGAGGAGTACGAGCTGTGGAAGCGCGAGCAGCTCAACTTCCTCTCTGTCCAGGTGTCCGTCGGCGCCAAAGACCCCGCAGAGGCACAAAAACTCCTGAGTGAGTCAGCCAGCCAGTCAGCCAAATCACATCACATCACACACACCGACACGTCAACATCAACACTGCCTGACGAATGAGTGAATGAATGCACCGAACCATCCATCAGATGACGAGGAGCGCCTCCGCCAGCTCTACCGGATGAGGCGGGGCGAGGAGGACATCGACAAAATGGCACAGGGCCTGGGTAAGTCAGTGAGCGACATCAACACGCGTGTACTGTACGTGACAATGATTGGCCCATGTCCTCTCCCTCCCTTTCCCGTCTCCATTTCAGACCACCTCATGTCGATGGGCTTCGACTTCCTGCAAGCCGAGCTGCTCTCGCTCAGCCACAGCCCGCCCGTTAACCCGATCAAACCAGATCCCGACACAGACGGGGCCACACCACCACAGCCACAACAGCCACAACAGCAGCAGCAGCAGCTGCAGCAGCAGGCCTCCAGTATCAGCAGCAAGAGGGGCCGGGGTTTGAGTGTGGCGCACTGTGAGGGCGACGTGCTCATGGACGAGCTGCTGATGATCTTCGAGCAGATCGTCTTGCCCACACACAGGTGAGGTGCCTGCACACACACACACACACACATACACACCCTCAGACAAACAGGGGAGGCGCGTGTGATGGTGTGGTGGTTGTTCTTTCTTGTGGTCTCTCTCTGTGTGTTGGTTGCATCGCATCAATCCCCTAGGTGCCGTCACACCCAGTTTCTGCTCTTCTACGCGACGAGCCTCAAGCCGGCGTGGGCGGAGCGGTTTCTGCAGCTCCTCTTTGACCGCCTCTATGACTCCAACGTATACGTCGCCACGGTACGTGACGTGAATATATGTGTGTGTAAACACCCACAAGCCTTCTCGTCTCTGTGAGTGAGTGCCTTCATCGTCCGTGTGTCTGTCCCTCGTTCGATGCCAGCGTCGCAAGTGCGCCTTCTACATCGCTTCCTACGTCTGTCGGGCTGAGTTCCTGCCGGTGAGCAACCAGCCAACACCACACCACACCACACCACACCAATGCCAATGGATGCATCAGTCAGAGGCAGTGCGTGTGGATGGATGGATGGTCTGGTGGGTTTGGTTTCTCTTGCTTTTTGCCTTTCGTTCCTCTCATCAGCTGGAGTTTTCCCGGCAGAGCCTGGTCTACCTTCTGGGGTTCCTGCACCAGCACTGCAACAAACTCGCCATCACCAACACACCCCACAACGTCCGTGAGCCAACAGAACAGCCAGCCACTGACTTGACCCAACACATCACATCACATCACATCACATCACATCACACACACGCGCCTGTCTCGGGGGGTGAGGTGCACTTCTCTCTCTTGAATCAGACGGCGGAGCGGGCGGCAGGTTTATTGCGCGCCGGCAGCGCGTCGGCCTACCCCATCAACCCCGAAGGCAACCGCACCCTCTTCTACGCGGTGTGCCAGGCCGTCTGCTACATCGTCTGCTACCACGGCGCCGCCTTTATGGCCGACACAAGGAACGGCGGGCTCGACTCCATCCTGCATGGAGAACAGTCGCTCATCGCCATCTTGCAGAGCCCCTACAGGCCGCTTGCGAACATACGCAAGGGAATCGCCACGTGAGCTGAGTGTGTTTCTGTTTGTTCTGTTTGTGAGGGTGCCGGTGGGGTGCATGGCGTGGCGCGGCGTGTTGTGCGTGGGTGTGGTTGTCAGGGAGCTGAGGAACTTGTTCCATCGTCTGCCGGGGTACGATTACCTCAGGCCGCTGTTCGAGCAAGACGCTGCGGTGGGTCGGTGGGCGGACGGGATTGACACACACACACTCCCTGCTCCTTCGTGTCAATCCAATCCACCACCTTGTTTGTTCTTGTCAGGGCGGCGGCGGCGACCACGGCGGGGGCGAGCTGGAAGCAATGACAGACGACTCATTCGGTGAGGGAGTGCAGCAAACACACCGAAGACCCACAGCGGCAGGAAATATCGGAATCCCATGCCGTTGCTCTCTCTGTTTTGGTGGGTGGATGCCTCGCAGATCCTGTGGATGCGATGTTTCCCTTCGGTCCCTACCGTCTGCGCCACTCGGTGCGGTTCGTGCAGGACAAGTACCGTGACTACGCCGCGCCCGCCCTGGCAGACATAAAGGCAGAGGGCACCACACAGTTGGCCCTCCCCGACCAGGCTGCCATCAGGAACACCAGCATGACCAGCAGCTCGGTAAGACATACAGACAGACGTGCTGCTTGACAAGAGGGTGTCTGGATGGATGGATGGATGTGCACTCTCTCTCCCTCTGTCTCTCTGTGTGTGTGTGTGTGTGTGTGTGTGTATCAGGGTGGTGGGGTCGGCAGCAGTGAGGGTGGGCGTGATTCTGAGGCGCTTGTGGGGATGGAGGAGGCCATTATCTATGAGGAGGAGGATGACACTGAGGGGTTCGATAGGCTGCAGGTACACACATTCACTCTCACACACACGGACCGACAAGAAACGCGTCACTCTTTTCCACGTGTATGTGTGTGGATTGCGCCCTTTTCTTCAGTCCGACCGTCGGGTGACGGCCATGACGGCGAGTATGTGCGAGGAGGATGACGAGGACGAAGACGCACCCATGTCAGACGACCACGGAGAAGACGAGGACGACGGTAAGAGTAGAGTGTATGCCACGCCATGCCATGCAATGCCTTGCCCTATCTGTCGTGACTCCGTTCCTTTCTGCACCCCTCCTGTGTGTGTGTCTGTGTCTGTGGGTGTGCAGTGTTCAGCCCCGACCTGAAGCCCTCGGCCTCCTTCTTCCCCCGACCTGAAGCCCTCAGCCCCCTGCTGGCCACCAAGGATGGCGGCCCCATGCTGGCAGACAGCGACCCTGTCGACGCCACCCAGCACCACGACACACACCACGAGTGCGACATGCAACTCATGGACATTGACGTAAGCGCGCTTGCGAAGGCAACGAGGCGGGCAAGGAGGAAGGCATGGCAACATTCCCTCGTGTGTGTGTGTCTCTTGGGTGCAGGAGGAGGGCGAAGAGGCGTATGAAGCAGACGAGCCCTTCACGATCGAGCCCTTCACGATCGAGCCCTCCGCACACACGCTGTCATCGTCCCTCCGCCAGACCACCCCCCTCCCGCACTCGCCCAACATGTCCCCTCCCCTCCCAGCACTCAACCCACCGCACACGCCCGAGTCACCCAAGCCGCCCGAAGGCCCCTCGTCATCTCTCGAGCGCATCCTGCAGTGCCCCGCCTTCAAACGGTCGGGCTTGCGTGGCACCAGCAGCAGAGACTCAGACGAGTGTGAGTCACCCGAGAGCCGTCGGTCGAGCCTCCGGGAGCGGCCCTGGAGCTACGACCACAGCCCGGGCCACTCTTTCCGCAACGACACGCCGGGCAGCTCGGTGCTCGAGACGCCAATGCTGCAGAATGGCGCGACGAAGAGGGAGTTCTCGCCGCCCTTTGAGTCGCTCCCGCCCCCACTGACGACGTCGACAGTGACAAAGGCAGCAGCCATGGGCGGTATGATGCTGCGGGAGTCGTTCCGGGCGGCCAGCGGCCCGCTCCCGCCCACGTCGCCGCTGTCACTCAAGGGCAAGATGCTGAACCCTAGGGGTCTCTTCACACATGGCAAGATGCCCACTCAGACGAGACGGCCAGGCCGCAAGAATTCGACAGGGAGCGAGGGGTCGTCGAGCAGCTGCCTGAGCAGCACCGCAGGCAAGGGCGGCAAGGGCGGGCGGAACAAGGCCGGGCTGGTGAGGAAGACCATGAAGGAAGATGGCGGCGCATAATAAATATGCACAGACAGAGGCAGGTGGGCAGATGGGGAGGTGGGCGGGCTAGACGGTGGTCACAAGAGAGAGAGATGGGACGGGCCAGCCAGGTCAGCAGCAGCAGGGTGTCTTGCTTGCTCATACAGCAAGGGCGATAAGATCACTCACGCCGCTGTCTGTCTGTCTGTCTGTCTGTCTGTCGGTTTATGTGGCCGTCAATCCATTCATCCATTCATCCATCCATCCATGCAGTGGTTGGTCGGGGCGGGATAAGGTGTGTGTGGCTCGGCGTGGGGTCTATGTGCCTGTGGTGTCGGTGAGTGCTGTTTTTTTTTGGTCGTTCGTATCGGTCTCAACGTTGGGCTGGGGGGGATGTTTCTCTCTCAGTTGGGCTGATTGACTGATTCCATGTCCATGTCCATGTCTC